TCAAATTTTTGTCATAGCAAGAAACATTTCAATGTAAATAAAATTGATGTTATACTTACACTTGAGGTGAACATTTGCGTATTAATAGCATCATTGTTGTTAAAATACCTAAAAATAAAATACCAAAAACAACTCCACTAACAAGTCCGATGTTTATTTCTGCATCTAGAATTAAATAAAATAGTTAATTGACAGAAAATGTTTGAAATCATAAAATGTAAAGTACATACTGGTCTTTACTATAAATATAGTAGAATCAGCATAACAGCAACGACTAAATGCTCTCATTCTAACATGATACCATGTATTTGGTTTAAGTGGTCCATTACAATAAACTCGTTTGTTATTAATAGAAGAAATGTGTTCACAATTTGTATCTTCGCCAAGTGTATATTTTACAGCTTTTACTTCACCATAATCAGCTACTGAATCAGCTACAGAAAGATATAAATACTCAACTACATATATATCTTTGAATAAAATCATATACTTATTTTGTACAGGTATCACCTACGATAAGGATTCCAATTCACTCTAGTGGCTTGATATGGTATTGTAAAATCTTTTTGCATGGCTTCCTCCCAAGAAGATATGTTTGGCCATTTACAATTTGTAAAATTATATCTACCATTCGATGCAATATTATAATCAACTTTCGATACCATAATGGAATAGTAAATAACGTCACCATTTGTATCAGGGAATAATGGCAGTAAAAGTGTGGCTGATGTTGTAGATCTTCGTGCCTTAGATGGGTCTAAAGTTATAGATTTTATATATTCTTCATCTGGCTGCAATGGCACTGCAGAAGTATAAAAAGTGTAATTTTATGTACAATAACTTATATTGTACTAAAAAGTTTATAAATAGATACATACTACCAGCTGGATAAATGATAGTACTTCTTACTGGTGTTCCTAAGTCTTGAACATCTTTGACTTTAGCAGATACTTCTACAGTGTAACTATATTCTGCTCGTAATTCTTTTAAGTTGATGATAAATATATCATTTCTTGTAGTATTATTTAGAACATATGTTTTATTTGAGAAAGCATGAGGTGTATGATTACCTCTAATTCCATATACAGACACATTAAAATATTCGATTTTTCCATTTGGTGAACATGGGTAACCCCATGTTAGAATAGTGTCCAAAATATCTGGATTACTTTTATCATGAGTAAGTGACAATGAAAAATTTGATACTATGTCTGAAACTAAAATAATGCAGCATAATAAAACTAGATATTTTTTAAATGTGCATAACATGGTACAATTCAAATTTACTTTTTGATGGAGTCTGAAATATTGAATATTCGCTGTAATTTCCCCAACCTGCATTTGTCTTTGCTCTAATTTTTACTTTATAATATGTATGTGCTACTGCTTCCGTATACTCAAAAGAAAATGTAGATCCATTGAAATATTTTGTCACTTCTTTTGACAAATTTGGACACCAATCTGGCACTGCAAAGCATTCTTCCAAATTAAAGACAATTTCAAATTCCTGTAGATTTCCTGGCAAATATGTTGGTGATTCCCATACAATTGTAAACTGTGAATGTATTACATTAGTAATGTTAAATGCAGGTACAGATGGCACTAAAAATAAAATGTTACCTATAAGACTACAATAGAATATGCCTGTTATCGTTTTGTTTTTACCATCTGCTTTATTTTTAATAAAATAATCTATTAATTTAATGCAAACGAAATTAGAATTCATGTATTGTATTCATTGTACTAATGCAACACAGTTAAATACTTACTATCTTCTAATGTTGTTATATTTCTTGCATCGCTGTATCCAGTCATATTTGCTTCATTGACAACATATGCTGAACAAGAGTATGTTGTATATGGACTAATATTTTCAATTGTTGAA